TTCTTTGATAACTTTTAAAAGATTAAATACCTCTCTAAATCTCATTTATTCTTTGGAGCCAAGATAGAACATAAACAAATGAAAACAAGGAGAAAATTATATAACATTTCTGAAAGTCATGAACAAAGCCAAGTCACAAAAAGTTAAAAAAAAAAAAATCTAGCATCCATATTTTATATGATAGCAGAATTTGAAAGTTCATATTATGTTGAAAGAAGCTAGTAAGGAACTGTACACTGTATTTTGGATATCTTCAAGAGAAAGACCATTTACTTTTCCACATGTCCACTATAAATCACATTGTCATTTGTTGTATTTGGATAAAATCCCCCTGAGTTCTGTGAAATGGAAGCAACTATCTGATGAGAAGAACAGCTTGGAAAGCAACAAACTGCAATAAATCTATGTTTACCCATCTGCAGAGTCAGCTGAAGTTTCCTAAATTGAGAAAGGAATACACCAAAACCAAAAAAAAAAAAAGGACAAAAAACAAAGAGAAAACACTTGTAGAATTTTTTTTCATGTTAGGACTTCCTTTAGACAATGAGATGCTTAAAGAAAAAATAAAGTGAAGAGGGAAAGAAAAACCCTTCAATTAACAAAAATGATGAAAGTATAGCAGTAGAATTAAACAACACTTAGTAGTTAGGTATGCTGCCTGTCATTTCTTTCTTCTCTTCCTATTCTGGTCCATCCCTCTACCAACACGTCTCCCCAGTTAGGTGGTTTAGACATTTGGGTCTTTTTTTTTCTAATTATGCCAATTGCATGAAAAGAAATGTTGATAAAATTTCAAAAACATATTTATTATTCTTGTTACTTATAATACTTAAGGCATCTTATTAAAAATGTGATATAAATTTTATTACATAAAAATCACTATCATTCCTCATTATAGGCTTTTATGTAACATGTTGAACAGTATTCATAGTGAATATTAATTATAACTGACATAAACACACACAGACAACACCCACCCAAGAAAATACCATATAGAAATAAAAAAAAAAAAAAAAAACTAATCCTGCAATAATCTAGTTGAAAGAAATTATTTCCTTTAAAAAAAATGTACCAAGAAGAAATGATTTTTGTCAAATAATGTGGAGAAAAAGAAATATATCTTGGGTTTTACACCAAGATCCCAGGTATTAAAGTAAACCAAATATCTGAAGGTAAAACCACTATAAGAATAGAAGAGAAGACCCTGAAAACAAGATGGCACCGAGGGCGAAGAAGGAAGCTCCTGCCCCTCCTAAAGCCAAAGCCAAAGTGAAGGCTTTAAAGGCCAATAAGGCAGTATTGAAAGGTGTCTACAGCCACTGAAAAAAGAAGATCCACGTCACTCAACTTCAAGTGGCCCAAGACACTGCAACTCTGGGGGCAGCCCAAATATCCTCTGAAGAGCACCCTCAGAAGAAACAAACTTGACCACTATGCTATCATCAGGTTTCCACTGACCACTGAGTCTGCCATGAAGAAGACAGAAACAAAGAAGACAACAACACACTTGCATTAATTGTAGATGTTAAAGCCAACAAGCACCAGATCAAACAGGCTATGAAGAAGCTCTATGACATTGATGTGGCCAAGCTCAATACCCTAATTCGGCCTGATGGAGAGAAGAAGGTATATGTTCGACTGGCTACTGATTATGATGCTTTGGATGTTGCCAACAAAATTGGGATCATCTAAATTGAGTCCAGCTGGCTAATTCTAAATATATGTGTATCTTTTCACCAAAAAAAAAAGAAAATTCCTGTAATATAATTC